TGAAAAAGGACACTGTTGGGCTATTGGCGGAGTAAAGTAATCTTGATTGGCGTACCCTACCACCGGTGGGGGGGGGGGAGAGGTCGTTTCGGCCCCCCTCAGATCTCGGAAAGTTACAGGCCGATTTTGAAAATTCAAACGACGGTATTCGATGGCGCCACAAGGGAATCCTTGTGACCAAATTTCGTAAACCTAGGGTCAACTGATGACGTCACAGGTCAGGTCAAAGGTCGTATTTTTCACCGATTATGGGCCCTCTAAGGAATGCGTTATAACATCGAATAAAAGGCATGTTATCGAAAAGCATCGATGCAGCGTTGGTCGAATGCGTTTTACTCGGTGTTATAGCACTTTCCCTAGAAGCCCCGTGAACGGTGAAACATTTTATCTTTGACCTGACCTGTGACGTCATCGGTGACCCCTAGGTCAATGAAATTTGGTTTCCTTCGACAAATTTGACAGGGCTATCGAACGCCGTTTGAATTTTCTGGATCCGTCCAGTAGTTTCGGAGATACGGGGGGGGGCAAAAAAATGCCCCCCCCCCCCACCGCGCGGAAGGTGGCTGGTAGGCCCACCGCCAGGCGCGGATACAAGGGGGGGGGCCATGGGGGCCATGGCCCCCCCCCCCCCTTGGCCGATTTTTTTCAAAAATAAAATAAAAAGTTAAAAAGATAAAAAGCTGAAAAGGGGGCCTCCTGAAAATAAAGTGGCCGAAATCCGATGAGTTTTTTTTAACCTACCCACTTAGTTATTTCTTAGAAGACTAGCTGAGAAGACTTCTTTGTTAGAAGATTGGTAAAGCTTTTCATAACTTGGAGGTCTCTTATACTCACAGAGATGACCACTTTTACAGGGCCTCCTAACCTGCACAGAGGGCCTCCAAGCCTGCACAGATGTTGAGATGTTGCCTGAACAGCTAGATAAGCTCAATAGACGCAGTTTTTTTTTTTGGGGGGGGGGGCCCAACAAGTGGGAAGATGGTGCCTCCAACAGGTGGGATTATGGGGGGGGGGCCTCCTGGTTTCTAATGGCCCCTCCCTTGGAGATTTTCTGGATCCGCCCCTGCCCACCGCCTGCCGGGTTAAGGTGGCGCAATATGACCTCTCTCCCCTAACTGTCTTTTGGACTTCGTAATGTCTGGCACTTGCGTGTTTCGTTTTAGCAACCAAGGAGAGGCGCTACCCGGAGATGCTTCTTTCTACCCAAAACCAAAGCAAACCTAGCCTGCCCTGACGTGACCTGACCTAATCTAACACGCGTAAATATATATGTTACAGGCAATGTGTGGAATGAGGCATTCTATAGAATGCCTAGGCATTCTATAGAATGCCTGACCGACCAGGCATTCTATAGAATCCCTAGGTATTCTATAGAATGCCTGACCCACCAGGGATTCTATAGAATCCCTAGGCATTCTAAAGAATGCCTGATTTTCAGGCATTCTATAGAATGCCTAGGAAATACACGAATCTTTCCAACATATAAGTGTATGTTGTATAAGATTATGAGCACAGACCGACATGTAACATTATCATTTTCTGCCAGGCTACCTTGCGTTCAGCTATTTATGTTCATTCCGAGTCAAATGTTCATTCAGTCAAATTTTCCGGTCAGGTATTCAATCTGACCTTATTAGGTCAAATTGTATCAGGATTTCATTCTGAGAGTACAGAGTATTTATCTTAACGCTAGAAAGACGATGGTGGTAATGTCAATATCGGAAACGCCTTTGGTAAAAAAAAATATACACAGAAAAAATTGACAACTCGTCCATTTTTGGAGGTGTTTGCCTTCTAAGGAATTGATTTAAGGTCAAACTGGAGAAACTATTGACAACATTGATTTTAACTATTGACAACAAACCTTCGGTTACGGCACCGTTATTATTGAGTCACATAGTTTCATAAACACCTCGCCACAAGAGCAATGTCCACTGCGAGGCTAAATCACAGGCACATCGGACCCCAAGTTTGGACAAAATACCCAAAGACAGCAATAACAATGTATCGAACACATCCTGCTCAGGGATATGGGCATTGATACAGCATCCCTGAACTGGTTAATAGCGGTCTTACAAAATACTGACTGGTACAATTATCATGGCCGAAATCTATGCTCCAAAACACATGTTGCAGGACAAAAAATGGAATAAAACATCTCTGCAACGCAAGGTTGCCGAACTTGCAGCGATCTGCGGGAACAATCATTTGTTATTGGTAATGTTGCACGTCCCTTTGTTACACATCACATGGAGAAAACTGGAGAAAAACTGGAGAAAACGGCTACGAGCCAAAAATGGACAAAAATTGGGCTGACCTAAAAAATGGCTTAGCTATTTGTTTTAGAAATGGCACCCTTTCGAACATTGCCAAAGAAGAACTGAAGTAAAATTTCATAATTTTGAGTCTTTGACGACCTTTCGAATACCGCATGGCCCAGAAGTCAAGCTGGAAGGGGAGATAAAACAAAACCTAATCCGGCTCTTGTTACGGCCGGGCCACCGCCCAGACGTGGAATAATGAACCATTTATTCAGGTTATTCCCTGACATTACGGTGTAGGTTGAGCTGTCCATGTATGTATATTGAGAGTCGTTACACGAAGTGCTTATGACGACATAAAATGTGACCTTTGGTGTATTTTTCACCTTCATTTCTAGCATCAGAACAAAGCCATCGTCATTCGCAATCACTTTCGATTCAAGCCTACGGTCCACCCTCCCAGCCAACACTCTTCTAATGCAGCTTCGTATCTGTAGCAGCATAATCCTCCGAGGGTAACCATTTAAGCGACTGGTTGGCCTGTGACTCTCCCGCGTGCCTTGCGCCGTGGCTCTCCCGTGCCAACGGAATTGGATCAGCTGCTGCTTGCGGCGCACCATTTGGTGGTCGGCATAGCCCAATACCTCCCTCGCTTCCTCTCAGCTCATTGCCCTGAAATGGTGTGAGGTGACGACCGGCCTAGGCCAACAATGAAAATTAGGTAAACAAATAGCATTACTGCCACTGACCCCTAATTTTCGAAGTGTGTTTCGGATCGGACAATCAAAATACTTAGGCATTCTATAGAATGCCTGGGAGCTTAAGCCAGGCCTTCTATAGAATGCCTAAGCAGTCAGGGATTCTATAGAATACCTAGGGATTCTATAGAATGCCTGGTCGGTCAGGCATTCTATAGAATGCCTAGGCATTCTATAGAATGCCTGATTCCACACATTGCCTGTAACATATACACCCCTCACGGCAGTTGCCGACTGGCCAAATGCTACTTAGATACGAACATTAGACCTCACGACATTTGCCGGCTGGCCAGATGCTACTTAAAGGAAAAGGGCCACCTTCGTGAAATATGAAGATATCGTTGTTTTTCATTTTGACATTATTAAATTTCATTTTCTTTTTAAAACTGGTGCCAGAAGTGCACAATTCGCGAAAAAGTATTTAAAACTATTTAACATATTGGTACTATGTTGATACTCTCTACGGCACCTACTGTATGATGGCATAGCGATGACGTCACACTCAAGCCAATCAGCGTTCAGAAGACAGACTCGTCGGATTGTGTCAGATAAGCTGATTGGTTAAAGCTGAGCTGGTTGGAGCTGATTGGTAAAAAACCAAAGCCTCTCCGCGGGTGGCTGTATTGTCGGATAAGAACGCATTCCTGGGATAAGAACGCATTCCTGGCGTATTTTCTTTTAAAATTGCCGATAACTACGAATGGAGGCCGAAATCGGCCGTAAGGAGGTAGACAGCCAGGTTTTCGGACACGGGCTACAAGATGGCTATCTCAGTTTCAATCCCCATGTTAAAGGTGGCCCTTTTCCTTTAAAAAACGAATGCGTGTTAAAACACTTAAGGCTGACCGGCCACGAGCCAGCCACCTTTAGATTACGAGGTGGGTACACTCGGCACACTAACTACGAGTACTAAGCCACGAAGATAGCTGGTCATCGCGGAGATGTAAGCCAATTTTTTTAAATGATGCAATTGGGCATTCTCCGGGCAGCGCCTCTCTTTGGTTGCAAAAAGGAAATACGCCTGACTCTCCCAGCGCTAGGGGAGAAAGGCCTGGTTTAGCCAAAAAAGGACGGAATTTGAAGTGTACTCGTAGGTGGGGCGGTGGGGAACTTTATCAGTGTGCCAATTTCATGACCCTAGATCAATATCTTCAAGATCAAATGAGGTTAATCGTGATGAAATTTGCTATAGTGACTATTTTGCGTTTATACGTCCATAGCTCTAAGCCTCTAAGAGTTACTGGCCGATTTTCCTATTTCTTCCTTTATACGACATTTGTAGTGTTATAAGAATCTCTAGCTAATCTAACCATAAATTTGGCACTTAGTGGCCTGCTGAGAGTAAGATGTCGCCGGCAAAGGCGGGGATCGGCCGACGCGGGAAACGTTTCAGTCACAGATTGTGTTTGCACCCTAATAATTCAATTTTAACAGTTGATTTCGTTGATTCTTCAAGATCAAATGAGGTTAATCGTGATGAAATTTGCTATAGTGACTATTTTGCGTTTATACGTCCATAGCTCTAAGCCTCTAAGAGTTACTGGCCGATTTTCCTATTTCTTCCTTTATACGACATTTGTAGTGTTATAAGAATCTCTAGCTAATCTAACCATAAATTTGGCACTTATTTGACCATTAGATTGCCTGTACATTTTTAAGCCTTCACACAAAATTTGACACGAATCGATCATAATCAGCGGTAAGAAGCGCAGTGCAAAGATGGAACCGTCCCGCGCCGGCACAGTCTACAATTCAGGCGGCAACGGCCGGCGCCGGTCGCCGCGCCGCTCCGGCAAGATGTTTGACTTTACACCGCTATTACTAGAAAAGTTGTGGACCGATTTACCTATTGCTTGCACCATAGGCGTAGGAACAGGGGGGGCCGGGGGGCCATGGCCCCCCCCACTTTCGGAGGTGGGGGGCCAGCAATGTTAACTGCCCCCCCCCCACTTTTTGCTGACTTAAAGGGACCCTCCTGTATTGCCAGCAAAAATCCAAAACTTGTTGCACCGAGATGTGTAATTTATTTCAAAGAAAATCAACAAAATCAAAAAGGTTCATAATAAATTTCATCCTGAAACGAAGAACAGAATAGGACGTCAGTACCAGATGACACACCGATGAATTAAACGAATTATTGAATAATTTAACAAAATCATAAGAATCCAATACATACTAGAGTGCGCCTGTTTCCACCAAAATATAAGTTGCGACCGAAAATAAATGAGCACAAGAAGGGGAGAAAAGTTTTGGCGATGCTCGTGACAAAAATTCAGGTCGTTTCTCTGCCGAACGAGGAGTCGTCGTTCGCTCAATCAGTCGCTCGATACACTCCCCCCACGCTGAGGTCCCAGGGTCACGCTGGGGTCACGCTGAGGTCCCGAGGTCACGCTGGGGTCACGCTGAGGCTCCGGGGCGCCCGGAGTGCGTTCGTCTGTTTCGATGATCAGTATCAGGCGGTGTGTCGATCGTTTGATGAGTATGTCTGGCCGTCCGTTGTACTCTGATCCGCTTGTCAGTGGCTTGTATCTCAGGGTAACATCCCTGACCAATCCATCAGAACTCGGTTCGATCTTGCTTATTTCTGCCATCCTCCAAGTCGCGCGCGCGGGGTTGTCCTCTTGGACAATCACGATGTCTCCGACTTGAAAATTTCGCTGTTGGATGTGCCATTTTTGTCGAACAATCATTTGTGTGAAGTAATCCCGGTACCACTTCTTCCAGAATGTTGTAACGATCCTTTGCAAAAATAAGAATCGGCTTGCCAACCTCGATGTTTCAGGCCATTCCCCTTGTGGTGAGTCGATGCCCGTGCGTCCAAGCAAGAGATCATTTGGTGACAGATAAGCACCACTGAGTGGATCCGCTCCCGGTTTTCTTCCAATTGGTCGCTGATTCAGGATGTTCGCTACTTCGAAAAGGACAGTCTGCAGCTCACTGAAAGTCAGTTTGCTATCACCCACTGCTATCGCCAATGCCCGTTTGATAAGGCGAATGAGGGACTCGCTGCATCCGTTCTCCCAAGGGGCATCTGCCGACTTGGTAAATTTCCATGTCAAGCCGTGGTTGACTCCAGCATCCACCAACTCATTGACATTCCAATGATTGGTCATGTCTTGAATTTCCCTGCTGGCAGCCGTTAGTTGCGAACCGGCATCTGAATATATGGTGGCAGGATACCCGCGAATCGTTGCGAAGCGGCGAAGCGTCAGGAGAAAATCCTGCGTGCTGTAACCCTCTACCAAATCTATGTACGATGCTCTTGAGGACAGGCACGTAAACAGCACTCCATATGTCTTGGTTGTTGTTCTTCTTTTCACTGTATCCTTTATCAAAAAGGGACCGAACATGTCTAGCGCTGTATGGTGAAATGCAGGACTGGGTTTGAGTCTGTTGGGATTGACCGGTCCCATCACTTGAGGTGAAGGCTTATCAAAAAGCCTTCTACACACGATGCACTCTCGCCTGATGCTTTTAATCACTCGTCTCGCTCCCGGCACCCAGAATTTCGTCTGTAACTGTGCTAGCGTGCTATCAATACCGCCATGATCCCGGCAGTGGATTTTGCGGACGATCAGATGTGTTAACGGGTGATTTGATGGTAGAAGCGTGTAACAATCTCGATTCCAATTCTCCTTGAGCCATTTGGCAATGCGACTTCCTACAATAATGATACCGTCATCCGTTAGGCTAGGACCGAGCCTCCTAAACCGAACTTGCCAGTTTTCCAAAATTGTTCTTTGAGCTTGTCTGATCCATAATTCCTCGGCCTTTGATAGGACTTCCACTGTCAATGGTTTGCCGATGCTCTTCAGGGATCTTGTATCCGATTCCACAATGCTCAACAATCTCGCAGTGACTCTGATAAGTTTATCATAGCTGCTGAAATTTTCAATTGCAATGTCATTGCAAATGTCGTGCCTGGCAGTGTTGGTTCCAATCGTCGTGAGATTGACGACGATACTGTCGGGCAATTCGTGTTCATACGGCTTTTGGCTCATGGGCCACGATTCTCTCGGAAAATTCAAGAACTGTGGTCCTGATTGCCACACACTATTCACGTCCAGCTCCTCCAGCTTGGTATATCTGGTCGTCAGGTCAGCCGGATTGTTGCGACCTCCGGTCCACCACCATTCAGTTGGACTTGATTTCTCTTGTATTTCTGCGATGCGGGTTGCCACGAACGTCCCGAATCCGTATGACTGCCTTTGTATTTGTGACCGAACAATCATTGAATCGACCACGTATAAAACTTCCTGAAACTTGTAAGTCATTTCTTTCAAAATCGTTTGACCTAAACGACAGGCTAACACAGCTCCACATAACTCCAACCTCGGAATACTGAGCTGACGGTTAGGTGATATTTTGCTTTTTGCTGTTATTAAACAGGTCTTGTATTGTCCAGATTTAAGCTTCCATCGGGCGTATGCACACGCTCCGTAGGCCTGTGAGCTGGCGTCGGAAAAGATGATGAGGATTGGATCGCTGTCTGCGTCTGGGGGCTGTAGACATCTTGTAAAATGTATGCGGTTCAGTCTAAACATATCCGCTAAGTAAGTGATCCACTCGCCTTTGCATTCTTCTGGTATGGACTCGTCCCAGTCAAGCTGCTGATTTGGGACTTGACGGGTTATAAGTTTTCTCATCAAAACTTTACCTTGAATGGTGAAGGGTACAATGAGGCCGAGTGGGTCAAAGATGGTTGCTGTCTGCCGTAACAACATCCTTCGTGTCAACACGGGCGGTATCACGCGTAATATTTCCTCCATGGACGGATTCGAGCTGATGGTGATCTTTTCTTCTTTTGTAAGGTTAAGTTTCATTTCAAACGCAAACCAGTCAGTCGCTGGCTTCCATAACATTCCAAGTATCCTTTCATTGCTTTCGTTTGACACACGAATGTTTGCATCATTCAATTCAATTTGCCCCGAAATTGTCCAATATTTGATCATGAAGTTGCCACTTGCTAGAATATCTTGCACCTGTGAGGCGATTGCTAGAGCCTCGTCTGGATTATGAACTGAGTGCACCAAGTCATCCACATAGCTGTTTCTAGTGATCATGGCAGCTGCTTCTGGATACTGTCCTCTGAACCTCTCTGCTATTGTATGGAGAGCGGTTAACGCGATAGTGCCACTTGGCCGGTCACCGAATGGAACGGCCGTCAGAATATAATGATCCGGCTCTCGATTTTTATCCATATCGCGCCAGAGGTATCGGTGGACATGTTGATCGCGCGTTGAGAGCTGTATAGAGTTATACATCTTCGAGATGTCTGCCGTGATAGCTACTGGATATTCCCTGAATCGCAGAAGTATACCATATAAATTGTTTATAAAATCCGGTCCTTTGGCCCAATATTCATTGAGCACGTGGCCCATATACGAAGCTGATGAGTTGAATACTATACGTATTGGGGTAGACGACGAATTTTGTTTGATCACTTCATGATAATGAATGTAATGCACCGGTCCCTGATAACTGTCAATTTCTTCGTTTGATAATTTCCTTGCCACTCCGCGTTTCTCCATGTCTGTCATTTGATCGCAGTAAGCCTTACGATAATCATGATCTAATCTTTGTAATCGATTCTCCATTGACCGTAGCTTTGCTCTTGCTGCTCCTATATTATTTGGGAGATTGTTCGGATCTTTGATCCAGGGATATTCAATCGTGAACTTGTTGCTTTCACTATCATATCTCAATCCACTTCGAATCATTTGCAGCTCATGTTCTTCTCTCAAAGTGAAATTATGCGTTCCGGTTATACATTTTCCGCATCGACAACCACCACACTTCGGTATATGTCTTGTACCGAGACTTTCAATTTCAAAGAAGTTCTCTAATTCGGTTACAATGTGTTTTGGGGACTCTCTCTTGATTCCGTCTTGGTGTGGGTCGAAGCTCGTATGGTTGATTCGGATCGTCGCATTAGTATGTTCGGTTTCTTCTGTCGTCGCTCCAAACGATCCCCTTATACAGAATCCGAATTGGTTTTCTAACAGTTGACTGTTCCCAACTGTTTTTACAACTGTCGGCATCATTGTGCAAAAATCTACGCCGATTAACATGTCGATTTTTCCTTCAGGTTTGGTGAATTTCGAAATATCAATACCAGGGAACCGGCCCTCAACTTGCCGTATGTCCACGCGCTGGAGATTTGAAGTGATATCGTCTATTCCGTATGCATCCACTATCCAGATCTTTCCGACCAGATCAACGAGAGGCGCTTTGTATTCCTTGGTGGTATATGACGTGAGTTCTCCCCCTACCTTGACTATGGATAGGCTGACTTCATTGCCTTGTAATCCGAGTCGTTCAGCTGCCTGGTGGGTGATAAGAGATATGTTCGCTCCAGAGTCCCACATAACAGTAACTCGCTGCTTGTTACATTGAACCGCAGTAGCTGCCAACAAAGGACGATTTTCTTTTACTTGTACATTACTAATTTGGCTGGCTTGAGGTTCTTTACGTTCCGGTAGATATGCTTTGTGCAGTAGAGGATGGTGCCGTCTTCCACATCTTTGATTTGCTTCTATGACGTCACACTTGTTTGATTCCGAACAATTTTTAGCTATGTGTCTGGTAGCTCGAAGGCAATTAAAACAAGCACCAAATTTTCGTGCGGCTTCAAATTTTTCTGTAAACGTCATCTTCAAAAAATCGCTACAATTTTCAATCAAATGTCCGTTAGTTTTATGCAACCAGCACCATGGACGTGATGTAAAAACGATACTGGAATGATTTTGATTATCTTGCGTCTGGACAGGTGCGTAATGATTATAGGGTCGATGAGATGAATGTGATGTAGACGGTCGATCGATTTGATTTACAGTCGCAGGATGAGGCGTTCGTGATTTGTCGGTTCGGAGGTCGTGTTCAGTGTATTCGATCACTCGTTTTTCGCGTAAAAGATATTGCAGAAGCTCTTCGAACATCCCCTTGGAATTTATACGATTCGTGTCCACATGAATTATCCATTCACGCTTTTGTACTGGAGGGAGCAATTTCTCTATCATGCTGACCATCGCAACAGTGTCCATTTCTTCACTCATATCCATTCGCTGAAGGTCCAACCAGCATCTTTCTATAACGTCAACCATTGAAATGAATTTCTTGCTATCGCCGTCGTGTATGGGCTTAATTGATTTAATGTCGCTAATGATGGTATCGACGAATTTTCGCGAATCTCCAAAAACTTTGTCCAACCGTTCAATCATTTTGTCGTAGTCGTCTTCGACTCCTCTAACGGTTTGAAGAGCCGGACCATATAAACATGATCGGAGCGCATATGCGTCCTTGCCGTATGTTTTTACCATTAATCTTGTGAAATCTTGCTTAAAATTTGAGTATTCTCGAATGTTTCCTCCGAAGCGAGGTGAATCAAGAGCCTTTACATGAATTTGTGAAGATCTGTACGTCTCTGAAGATGATTTGGAAACACAAGAGGCGTATATTGCTCGCATTCGATCGAGAACGGAGTCGACTTCTTCCATATATGAATCACAATCTTCGAGCATGCCGTCCATGACGTGATGTGGTGCGTTTTCATTTATCGTTTCAATAAGTCGGTCGTTTGCATTATCCAATTCCTTAAAAATGTCGCGTATATCGTTGAATTTATCTTGTAGTACTAAAAATTGTTCACCTCGTTCATTTAGTTCGACAAATGCGTTGCACTTTCTTGTAAATTTGCTTCTAGCATTAGTTCTACTTCTTTTAGCTTTTTGGATTAGATCTGGTGCACACTCCTCTGCGTTCTTCATGTTTTCTTTGTGTTGTCGAATTCTTGTATCTTCAAGTTAAATTATCATAGTCTACGTTACGTTCGTTTACGTTACGTTCCCTTTACGTTAATAATTTGCTTGTAGATGAAATGTATTGCCAGCAAAAATCCAAAACTTGTTGCACCGAGATGTGTAATTTATTTCAAAGAAAATCAACAAAATCAAAAAGGTTCATAATAAATTTCATCCTGAAACGAAGAACAGAATAGGACGTCAGTACCAGATGACACACCGATGAATTAAACGAATTATTGAATAATTTAACAAAATCATAAGAATCCAATACATACTACAGTGCGCCTGTTTCCACCAAAATATAAGTTGCGACCGAAAATAAATGAGCACAAGAAGGGGAGAAAAGTTTTGGCGATGCTCGTGACAAAAATTCAGGTCGTTTCTCTGCCGAACGAGGAGTCGTCGTTCGCTCAATCAGTCGCTCGATACACCTCCCACCTTAACATTAGATTTGAGTTGAGATAGCCAAAATGGGGTCCCTGGCTCACAATTACCGGTTTCGGCACTCACAACATCGAGAAATGCCTTGAATCGGAAATATTGAATTTCAAAATTGCAGCATTTTGATTCAGAGGGGCTAATGCTTAGGAATACCCCTCTGAATGTGTGACGTCAGCGCAGATATCTAACGATTTTTAAATGTTTGACTAAAACGTTTTGTAGCACGCGGTGGTATATGCTATTTGCGCGCAACATCTGCCGCAAACGCCGCACTTCTAAAATAAAGTCGCTAGAAACAGCGGAGATCCCAAAAAAGTAAACAAAAGTAAAAGTCTAATATCTTGAAAACCGGTGAATATTTTTCGGTGAAATTTGGTAGATATTCGTATTCGCTCTTTCTGAACCGAGCGACATCACTTTCATGCCAATTCATAAACTTTTTTGAAGGTGGGAGGGTCCCTTTAAGTGTCTGTCTGTACCTAGGTACCAGTGCTACCACCCGGTAACTTGACAACAATTCAGCTTGCCCTTTTGAAGATTCCCTTTTGTTTCTGCAGCGTTATTGACCGCAATTTCCTTCACTCAATGAAGGAAACCATATCAGAGACAAGACTGTGGGTCCTGGTGACAGCATTTTGTTGAATACGAGGCACGGGACAGCGAGCACTGAAAAGGTATAAGACAATACTAGCACGGTGCAGGAGAATGCGTATACAAACGACCAACGCTTGACCGGATCTGCTTGGGGTCGGCATAGTTCGTCAAAGGCGTACTAGCTGGGGGCCAGGGTGACCATGCTCAAACCGCCTCGGCTGGTGACCGCCTCGGCTCAAACAGGCTGGGGGCCAGCAATGTCTGTATCTGCCCCTTCCCTTCCACCTTCAGTGCAGTGGCGGTCGCAGAAGGGGGATCAGGGCCATGCCCTTCCCCCCTCCAAAGGCTAATCAGGGGGCCATCATATCATTTGCCCCCCCCCCCCCCAAACAACCAATGGGCCCCCATGGTTGTTAGCCTATGAGGCCCCCATTAGCCTATGAGGGTACGGGATTCTGAAGACCTGATGCCGGCCTCTGAGGCCCATCTTTGTTTTTGAGGGTCTTCTGCTGGTCTCTGTGCCCTGGGGTCCAACACCGGCCCATGCTGGTATTTTAGGGACCCACATTGACCTCTAAGGGCCCCGCACTGGATTCTGAAGATCCTATGCCGGTCTCTAAGGGTCCGCATCGGCCTCTGAGAGCCCACCTTGGCCTATGAGGGCCTTCCGCTGGTCTCTAGGTTCCAGGTCCCGCCCATGCCGGTCTGTTACGGCCCCACACTGACCTCTAAGGGCCCATGCTGGCCTGTAAGGACCCGCATTAGCCTCTGAGGGCCTTGCACTGGATTCTGAAGACCCGATGCTGGCCTCTGAGGCCCATCTTGGTTTTTGAGGGCCTTCTGCTGGCCTCTGGGGTCCAACACCGGCCCATGCCGGCATTTTAGGGTCCCACACTGACCTCTGAGGGCCCATGCTGGCCTGTAAGGGCCCACATTAGTCTCTGATGGCCCAAGTCGGCATCTAAATGTCTCATCTTGCCCTTTGCAGGCCCTGTACTGGTCTCTGAGGGCCTCAACCCTCACCGGCCGATGGGGGGGGGGGGGAGCGGCGGGTGCCGTCCCTCCATAGTTTTTTTTTCGCGATAGCTCCGAACACGCCGGCGATAGAGAGCTGAAGCTTTGCATACCTGACCTTTGAATCAAGCCGGATCTTTTGACACCAACCGCATTTTCGGGTCAGATCAGGTTACTGACCCATGAGGTCATAAACCTCTGCACGGTCTTCAGATGTCGCAACTTCCCAAAGCCCTCACTGCCAGAGGAGATTTCACAGGGAAATGAACCTTGGAGGACCTAGTATCCATTAGGAGTCTCACAACTTGTACATCTCGGATTTTTCCTAAGGTCATTTTCGTGACCTCACCATTAGGTATAAGTCAATGGGGATAAACTGAAAACTTTTTCTGGCGCCGTAAACGATCTTCAACTATCTCAAGCACACTGAATCTTTCATGCACTCCTTGCAAGGTTCGATGCGTCACTTTTGCAATGTTGACCTTGCGCGACGTCATTTATGAAGTTATAAGGGTCATATAAGTTTGTCGTCAATAACTACCGATCAAATTGAGCTAGCGGGTCGGGGAAGCCATCAATGGACTCAGGAAGACCTGCCGAATCGAATGATATGCGACATGACCTCCTTCGACCAATTTCGTGACCTGGGGGCGCTGACCTGACCGTGACCCGTGGTCAACACCCTCAGTTTACCTCACCCAAACAAAAAGTATATCATTCGACGCGCCTGAGAGAGGCGAACACGATGCTGGCAAAATCACGGCTCTGCGGCCGTTTTTTGCGAAGTTATTCACCAAAAACGGAACCGTGCCTTGAGGCACTTGACCTGACCTCAGAGGTCACCGGTTGACCTAGAACCTTAAAATCGGGTATCGATCTCTGCGTCTTGTAACGGCGCACACGCTCGTTTTTCCGCGACGCGCTAGCTCAACCTGGGGCGCAACGGCGAGGGGGGTCGTACCCGCCCCCCGCCCCCTCGGCCGGCGCGTATGTAGAAAACCTATAGGTCCGGTCCGGCGAGGGTTAAACTGGCCTCTGGTGGCCCAGACCGACCTCTAAAACGCAGTTCACACTTGACCGTCAGTCTGTCGGTGTCGGGCCCGTCACCGTCGACCTGACGGCCTGCAGCCCGTCGAACGAAAGTTGAGATTTGGTAGCTCCCATTGGCTGCCATATATTGTGACAGAAATGGCGCATCATTTTCGAGATTGACGCAGATGGGGGAAGGGGATGGGGGAGGGTTGAGGCCGAGAGGTAAAAAATATTCTTTGAATTACAGAGATAAAATACCATGCATTTACATTTTTTATGTCAAATATTGCTGCAAATTTATTTAAATGAAAGACACATAGGCTCGATGATTTAAATCAGGGATTGAATCTCAAGATATCGTGCGGTAATAAACACTTTCATCTCAACAAATGGATAGAAAATGGTATAAATGCTCTTAAAAATGCATATAAGCTTGATGCTGCATGAGAACGTTCCTTTTCCTCTTCCTCCAACACGCAGACATTCAAACCGACGGGCCCGTCACCGTCAAAAGTTGAACATTGCTGAACTTTCCAAAGCGACGGCCGTCAGGTCCGGCGCCGGCGCAGTCAGCTGTTGCCGGCCGTCAAACGCTGCCGGTTCACACATGCCCGTCGACCTGACGGCCGTCGCTCCGTCAGATTCGGCCGTTTTGACGGTGTCGGGCCCGTCACCGGCAGACCTTACGGGCAAGTGTGAACTGCGTTTAAAAGTCCCACACCGGCCTCTGATAGTCAATCAGCCCAGTTGCAGTGGTCGCTGATATAAAACCTCTTAAAAACGTTATAGGTCTGGCTGAGCCTAGCTGGGCCGTTCATGCTGATTTTTATAGGTATATTGAAAAGACTCGCTTTGCACGTTTCACGCTTGCTCGTAATGAAAAAGTTGCTGGATGCCTCTGGAATTTGCATGGGTGCCAACGGCTGCGGAGGACAGGGGAACGCGTCCATCAGTTTGAGTTTATGGACTGGAGTCTCCCTGAAATTTTAACCAATTTTGTTTTTGTTTTTGACTCGATTTTTTTTTATCTCTGATCATGTTTGCGAAAACAAAGTGGCCGAAATCCGAGGAGAAATCGGATTTTGGGGGTAGGTTAGGTTTTGGACCTCTGGGACCTTGGCCCCCCCCCACTTTCGAAAACGTTCCTACGCCTATGGCTTGCACGGGAGGATTTGCAATTCAATTCTGGACAGATGCTGCAAGTTTGACGTTAATATGATAATTATGGCGTGAGTTATTGGCGAAAAATAGGTGGGGTTGGCGAAATCAGCCCCTTCCATCGCCCATGCTACGTTGCACTACTTGTTGCTATATCATCCAAAGTTATCGTTGGCCCACTCTAATTTTCTCAGCACGTATGCCCTACGTGTAGTGGAAGACAATATCTAAATTTGAGCAAAATCGAAGGGAACGCATTTTTCACAAATTAGATTTTAAGAAATTAATTCAAAATAAAATAAATTCAAAATCACCAAAAAATATTAAAATTGCCAAATTTAACTAGCATAACTCCTTATGTACACGTTTCAGTTTGTTCGAAATTAATAGCTTCGAAAATGTTCAAGCTATAGATCTTTCAAGATTGCAATACACGTCCAATTCTGCTAAAAAAGCAGAAGTTTAGCGGCTTGTATCTCTGTAGCCCGAGGGCATATGACAAAATCCTTTGACCCTCAGAGGTTTCACTCAATAGCCAACAATTATACCAAGTTTGAACAAAATCGCAGAGGTGGCTGACTTTGGCTGTCCCGGTTGACATGGAATGCCCCAATTGTCACCTTAGCATCAAAACTCGCTCGCAATTGATGCGCTCACTCACAAGTCAATATAAGATTTCAAACCGTCCGAGGAAAGGCTGTCGCATCTGAAATTCCGCCACTCTAGGTCAAGGCCAAGCGCTGCTTTTTTATCGAACCTTAACAGCAGGAAACTCCGCTGTGATAAGTGATATGGTCCACAGTGCAAATACTCCGAAGTTGGGCTTCCCACTACGGGTATGCATATATCGCATATTTGCTTGTATCTTAGGACTGTCCGTGTCTTATCTGAGTGAGCCATGATGGCGATCACTGTATATTGGATGGCGATATGTGGTGACTCGGGGTAAAATTATCGCTGGCATCGGCGCTTGAATAGATGCGGCTCGGGCTATTTTCCTGCGTCCCTCTCTCCACTGTCTCCAGCATGACCCTCATTCATACCTAGGTATTACGCAATGCGCAAACGCATAGGGCTACTGAATTAGTGAATAGACAGAGCCGTTTTCACGACGGGTTATCTGGCGAATGCTTGATCAAATCTACACCAAATACATTTTTAGCATCAAATATCTCCATGTCATGAATATAATCAATTGAAGTGTTTTGAGATATTTAGACGTGCGCGGGCGCCCATGCAGGGTAACGCTTTTACAGATCAAAAAAACGGCTGGGTCAATTTCACTCAAAGTTAATACACTTTTATGAATTGGCTAAAACGGCGGCTGCCCGCACTAGCCAGTCGGAGGTCAGCCAGTGGTCACATTGTAGGTACTTTTGCACTTGCAGGGCTCACTGTCTCGCTCACCTGTTTCTCGCCCAAAATGCCAAAGGGCCGTTTACTGGAATTCAATTAAGCAGATATACATCTGCTTATGATATACATCTTCATCTACATGATGCACTAAGCAGATATCTCAAATTTTGCTGATCATCATAGCTCGTATCATAACAACGTGGCTGAAATAATATCAGTCGAACCTCCCATCTCACCGGCCCTCCCCTCTTCACCGAGAAGACGAGCTGCAGATTTGGACGCTCTATCCTACTTCCCGTCGTCTACAGCCTCTGATCTGTCCGTCTGCTATCTGAGCATATGGGGAGTCCGGCTGTCGCTCGGTTATCGGCACAGCGTGGAGAGTCCGCCTGCCTCTCCAGTTATCGGAAAATGATGGACTATCATTGAGACAGGCGCAGTTTGTCGCGCGGGCTCAGTCGGCCCGCGGAGCTCACTGTGATCGGGAACTCCCAGAGGTGCAGCTTCGGTGGCCGGCTATGGACCTGTGCGCACTCTGCTGCATTCTGCTATGGGGTTTCGTCGCTGGTAAGATTAATCGATAGAGGTTATCGATTATCGATCGATAGATGTAGAGATCTTTCAAGAATATTAGATGTCTATGAAATGAATAATTGATACAGCTCTAGCATTTCTGAGTGTTATGCCGAGCTAGTGCGACTTTTATTTCGTTTTGAAAGCATGGTGCGTGCCGGCATATGCAGTCACTGGTGGTAAATGCATGTGCTCCGTTTTTTACATACTTTTATGGATAAAAGAAACATATAACAAGAAGCCAGCTTTTGATCGAAATGTTTGAATCAGATAGGCGATGCTAACATGTTTTTTTCACTTCAGCGCTGAGTACCGCGCTTCCTCTGGCACTACTGGACATACAGCGACGAGGCTATTCCAAGGCACTGACCTGGACACAGCTACTTAAATTGTACGTTTTACTCAAGCTTGGCGATATCAAAACGTACCGGCTGCATCGCAAGTTTGAAAGAGATGTTCGTCAATTTGAAAAGGTGGGGAGAGGCGAATAAGATGTTATTCTGCCTTTTCGTTTTACCATAGATAACATGAATTTTGTTATTTATGGTATGGTTATTCATTCATGTTATCTATGGTTTTACCTATCAGTAGCATTAACCCGCGCCGTGCTGTGGTGGCCTGAACTTTCCGCGGAGAGCTGGGGAGGGGAGGGCGTTTTTACGCCCCCCCCCCCTCCACGCTGTAAGCGGCATTCGAAAGAGCATAAAAAAATGGCGTAAGCACTTCAGTCATTTTAAAGGTCAGATCAAAGGTCAGGTCACCAGAGGTCATCAAATGTTAAATTTTGTCGATTTCAACAATTTTGAAACACCAGACGGCTTACTCGGGAACTAATTGAGCTACAGTGCCGCGGAAAAGCACATTCGATAGCTCTTTCAACGCTCTTTCGCAACCGTATCTTCAGATTTGACCTCAGGTTAACGTGTTAGCCTCCAGACGGCAAAACCCCTAAAAATAGCCAGTTGTCACGAAAAATGTTTTTTTCGGTAGTAAGCTTTGATCTAAGAGAGCCTCGAATTAACTTTAGCCAGCATCGTGTTCCTCTCGTCAAGACGCGTCAACTGAACTGTAATTTAACCTTTAAAGGTCATGTTGGAAATTTGACCTCAGGTCAAGGACATGACCTGACCGGAAGGGGTCGTGCTGCATATCAGTCGATCCGTATCGTTGAGCTGAACACATCTGACGTGTTTTCACCGCTCTAGCACCTCACTGTCAAAAGTTATAGTAAGCAAACACTGATGAAGACATTTCACGACCTGAGATGACCTCACGGGCACACAGACGGTGTAGTGCACACATGGTGGAATTTTCCGATTCAGCGTGTCATGTTTACCAATGAACCGATGTCTGAGAAGGCGACATTCGTCCAAAAGAGGCGCATTTCAATTTTATCCCATTGACTTATAGGTAATGGAGGAGTCTCAAAATTGATCTGACCTTACGTCACAGATATAAAAAAATCCGAGATATGCATTTTATAGATACTGTTACCCTTATCAATCTCTGAAAGTTTCAAAGTCAGCACTCAGTCGATGTAGCTACAGCGAGCATTTGAACTTTTTCTGAGGTAAGGTCACTTGACGTGACCTGGGAATCTGACCTTAAATGACCGTGGCCCGTGGTCTGAAATTTTCACAGCATATGGGGAAAAGATATAGAAACAGGTTCACAGAAAACGCGCGAAAAACCCGAGGGGGCGTAAAAACGCCCACCCCCCAGCACGGCGTGAGGTTAAAGGCAGGGGTGGATTTTTGTGTGCTTTTTTATTGGGGTTGCACAGCCCTGAAAGGGCGCCCAAAGTGGTTCCGAGCGGACAAAATTAGCAAAGGGGCCCCTGTAGACCATCGCTGGGGGGGGGGGGGGGGGGGACGGTGTGTTAGCCTAATCCGCGTACCGTGGGGGGGGGGGGGCGAATATCCTCTGAGGTTCGTTCAAAAGTAGAGGAAAACTTCTGGAAGCAGTATGAAACCCTTATATAAGCCCGGCTTAAGATCATTTAGCCCGCGCCCCGTTGAGGTCTGGCAGGATCCACGTCCTGTTGGGGGGGGGGGGGAGGGTGCAAAGGTCGTATCTCCGGATCCGGAACCAATAGCCGGATCGGAAAAAAATTCAAACGGCAATCGAAAGAGCTCAGCAAGAGGTTGATAAGAATCATAAATATTACTCCTGACTGATTTCAAGCACAAATTCCGAAAATATTGTGACGTCATAAGAACAGTCGCTACTTTTTCAGTCATTCAAATGGCTATATCTCAGGCAGTTTTAGAGATATTTTGTTAACTTTTGGCATGTGTAAGGCCAGTAAGGGGTTCTCTAACATGTATTCCGTTTTGTTGTGAAAATTTCCTTAAATTTCAAAAATATCCTAAGAAATCTAACTTTTATGTTAAACAATCCCTAGATCTGAAGATTTTTATCGTTTGGAAATTTCAAGATAGCCATTTTGTTTGCCATACTTTTTTATACCTACGGCTCAATTTTTGAGTCCCTAAGTTGAAACTCTGATTTTCTGCGATTTTTCTCCTTGCACATCTTTTTCGACGAAAAATCGCCGAACATGACCTCAGTTTGACCTCTATTGCTCGTGACCAAGGGAGGAAATTTACGTGATTGCAAATGTATAATTATACACAACTAACTTTTTTATTTGTTATAGAAGGCTCATTATAACGTAATGACAACCGATACGTAATATAAAAGTATGTTTGTGCGTTCGGGGTAGGGCGTTTCTTGATGAAAGTAAAACACATCGTCAATGATGACCAGCAACTCACGCAAAGTGAAACATATTTTCCCCGAATGCACGGCTTTCATTGCGGTGCCTGAGCTCAGAGTTCGACACAAATGATTCCAGCCAGTCATGCAACAATAACTTTATCGCAAACAAATATCAATTGTCAAGCGATATCATAGTGACCGAATACAGTAACGTTCATATCGGTTATATCGATTACAATGTGGACAGTTCAGTTCCCGTAAGTACTTTGTAAGCTGAGCTGTTTCCTCTTATAAAACACCAAGTAACACAATGTGGTGTAACTTACAGGCACAATCCGAGTTCCTTCTGGAAAGGATACGGCGCTGCAAAAACACAGCCTTCGGACGAGATTATCATCTCCCCTCCTACAAAACCGTCGACGAATTTCGACGCAGCTTCCCTGTGTGTGACTTCTCAAATGTTGAAGAGTACATAAACCGCATGGCGAATGGAGAAAAGAACGCATTTCTCGGCGATGAGGACGAGCTAGTTTTGTTCTCGGCGTCCTCCGGAACGACGGGCAAGAACAAATTGATACCGGTAACAGTTGAGGGGGCGAAGAGTCTTCAGGATCAGGTCCTGTTCGGCGCCTATCAGTGGGCCCTTCGTGAGCGGTTCCCGTGGGACCTGACGAGGATCTTGACCGTAAAAAACAGTCCCCTCGTTCACAAGCCAACTAAGGCCGGTCACAAGGTGGGTGTCGTCTCCAGTGTTATCTACTCCAAGCTGAATGAGATGACCACGCTGCTGACAACAACGCCGCCACTTAGTCTGCCAATGAAGAACGAGTCTGTATGTAACTACATCCACGCCTTGTTCGGCCTTCGGGACAAGCACATCTCTATGATCCGGAACGGATACATCTTCCAGTTTCTGACTCTGATTCGTGGCATCAAGATGAACCAGAAGAGCCTCGTTGAAGATATACGCAGAGGACAGATCAAAGAAGATCTAGACATCGATGAAAAACTTCGCTCCGAAATCAACGCCCACCTTTCTCCGATGCCCGAAAGAGCAGCGGAGCTTGAGAAGGAATTCGCCAAAGGTTTCGACGGCCTGATTCCGAGAGTCTGGCCGAAAGTGACCCGTATCAGCGGCATCTGGTCGGGAAACACGAACGCCATGTACTACAAAGAGGCCCGAGCCATGCTGGGCCCCAACATTCCCATCTTCAGCTTCTCGCTGATGGCCTCCGAGGGGTTTCTGGGCGCCAATCTCGAGCTGACCCGACCCGGACCACCGCGTTACACGCTCATCCCTGACGCGGTGTACTACGAGTTTCTGCCGATCGTCGGAGACCACATCCCCGAGCTGGCAGACATCCGGCCGCAGGACCTGCTGCTCGGCCACCAGCTGGAGGTCGGAAAGGAGTACGAGATGTTCATCACGAACCCGTCCGGGCTGTTCCGCTACCGTCTAGGCGACGTCGTCAGGGTGGCGGGGTTCTACCAGCAGGCGCCGCAGGTGGAGTTCCTTTACAGGTGAGCGGCACACGAGGTCTTATATGTCTATGTCTTATATTGTATGTCTTATATTATATTCTTATATTGTATGTCTGGGTACGATTCGGTTGAGTAGTCCACCGTTGGTATCGTTTCCATCCTCAGGATAATCAAATCCTTCTCTACACTGCACTTCAATCCCCTGCTCCGGGCTGGACGGGCAACTTTGTCCCATGCGGGAAGCTCCCATAGGAGCACGCCCGTAGCCGGGTGTGGTGAGTGTCGGGCGGATGCATGGATGGCCTGGATGGGTCACCCAGCCGACGACTCACCAGGATGCCAGATCAATGTCTCCCCATAACTCCTATCATCCTTCCTGAGGCCTCTTGCACCAAACTACCTAGCTAGGTAAAATCGAAAAACCGGTTTCAGAATAAGCTAATCTAACGGCGGTAAATTTGTTTGCAATAGCCCAATACATAATCCTACATGTGCTTGCTAAATTTTGCACGTTAATTGTTACATTTGAGACTCGGACTGGGCATACGATGCAAAATAATCCGAGCATTGGTGCAAGAGGATTTTGGTGCAAGAGGCCTCTGCTCTGGAATGGTCTTATTAGACCGAAGGAGCCTAACCCAACAAAACAAATAATTTTGAGTCGTTGGTGCCCTGAGGTCGATTGAGTCGAGTGAAATATCTCGGCATTGCCTATGCCAAGCACCAAGCACCTAAGAATTGCTAAGATAAAGATGCAAAAAGTGGTCAATTCATATGACAACTATAAATAACCTTTTTTGAGTCGCTTCATAGCTTGTTCATATGCATACAGAAAGTTTCATTACCTACATACACATGAACGCATTTTGATGTCTTCATACAAGGACTAAGCGGTAAGACGATGCATTTTTTCCCCGAATAGCCACCGATATCAAATAACGTCATAACAGATTTTTTTTACCGTGCTCCACTGCCAGGTCAGGTCAACTTCTGAACGTCTGCGGCGAGAAAATGATCGAGGATGTGTTCTTTCGCGCGCTGGAGGACGCGGCTAAGCGCTGGCCGTCCACCCTGAAGGACTACACGGTGGCTAGCAGTCAGTTGGGACCGGCTGACCAGGACGAGCTCAGTCGCCGGTACCTGCTGTTCCTCGAGCTGGAGGGGGAACCACTGACAGCGGAGCAGGTGGTGCTGGTGAGTCAGAGTCAGAGTCCTGTCCGCTATACATAATTGCTGTAAATTGCTATACATAGGTAGCAGCTCTGTTTGCGTCTTTCCCAGTATGTACGCATTCTGATGACAACGCACAGACGGCCGATGATTTCTGTTGACTCATCTATCTTCCACAGGTGGACCGGACACTTCAGGAGCAGTGCGAGGAGTACCGCGTGTTCCGGAGCACAGGCCGGCTGGGCGAGATGGCCGTGTACCAGATGCCGGTCGGCACGTTCGCCCGCTTCCAGGACCACCTGGTGAAGACCACGACCGTCTCGGCGGCCCAGTTCAAGATGCCGCGTGTGCTGAAGAGCGCCGACCGCGTGCAGTGGTTCATGGAGAATGTCAGGGCGTAGACGAGTAGATGGTTTTGTCATTTGTGCCATGTGGCTGTGATCCGTGTATAATGTTAATTACAGTGCTATCGATAGGTATTGCATAAGTTACGTCAATGGGAACTAAAGTTGACACTTATATGTATACAATGTTTGATATGTTATAGTTCGTCCAGAGGAAGCAAAGATGCGTTTAATAGGGCAAGGTCAGTGATGGAAAGTGCTCAAAATGAAAGCAGACATTCGGCTAAAATATGGCAAAGCACAGACGACGGAAGCTTCATAAAGTGCCCATGAGATATTAAGGCTTGTAACAAAACAAGTTAAGCTTTAGAGTTAAATGTGCCAATGTATTTTTGTGTGATATCAATGTTGCAATCGAGAGGTTTGTTTTGAGTTTTTGAGCTCCGTTGTCTCAGGATATTAGCCCTCGCCTATGTACGGCGTTTTCAGCATCTAACGTGTCGGTTGAACGTGTCGGAGTCGGTTGAACACCCCCTCCCTCGAAAATAGAAATTATCTACTTCGTGGAATTATTCGGGAAAATAACCCATCTAACTGATAGGTTGGTGGGCGTGAAGGCATCAGTTAATTTCAATCGCTCAACAACTACATAGTAACATAAGCATAGTCCGATTCAACTATTGTGAGTATATATCATATATGTAGGTATGTGTAACAGACAACATAAAACAACTGACTCATGTACCATAAACAAATAGTGCCACTGTGCACCAATGACCAGTGCAGCCAAGGATACAATAACGATCATTTCATATCTTTGGGTCTAGCTGCCATATTCCCGATGAAAGCCTATGCGGAGGCACGCGGGCAAGCCTTACATTGTCTCATATGACATACAGCGCTCTTGCACAAATAGGTCCCACACCGGATTCACCGCCTGTTGGTCGGAGCGCGAGCCCCCCTTCCCCCGGCTGCCCGATCGTAGGGCGACAGCCCCGACACCACGCGGGCCCCACTGTCAACAAGCAGCATCTGCAGGCGGCGCGACTTATCGGTCAGCATCGTCGGTATCGGTGCGGCTCGTCAGTGCCGCTTTAGCCGAGCTCACAGAGAGTGATTGTCTTGCCCTCAGACGGCTTGCTCCGAGCGTCGGAACGGGTCGTACTCCTTGAACATCTGGCTGATGAAGCTGCTCACCTGGCGGTCTGCCTCGCTCTGGTCCGGCTCGGGGACTTTAGCACGGACAGGTGACGAGGTCGCTCTGAGGGCAAAGGTCAGGGAGGTCGTGGGTCTGTGGGCAAAGGTCTGAGTGCGACGGTCACACATAGTGACTTAGAAACGGTGCAAATACGAACAAAGTATAGAAGTGTTAACCAGACATGGTACTGGAAGCGGTGATGTGCTTCGAATGTTTAAACGTTTCATCGCTGACATTAGTACCGCTACTTTAGCCAGAAATCACGTTCATTTCTTACCCATGAGACGTTCTGTCTCCGGTTCTATCCGTGTTGTATCGTCTGTCATCTCCTTGATTTCGACTGTAGCCAGGTCCATCGTTTCCAGGGTTACGGTTGTAGACGGGTCCATCGTCGCCTTGGTTACGGGTGAAGCCAGGTCCGTCGTTACCGTAGTAGCCGGGTGCCCCGTTGTCGTAATAGCCCTGGTTAGGACCGCTGTATAAGTCCTCCTCCGTTTCCTGGGTGCTCGACTGTTGGCTGCCATCCTGAGGATAGTCCTCGCTCTCGTCCCGGCCACCGTCAGGTGAATATTGGCCTGTGGGAAAAACATGTGTAGCTTATGACGACAATCGGGAGGCTTAGGCAGGAGCTGAGTCGAGTGAACGTGAATCGTGACTTTTAGTCAATATTCATAGGAAGCTGGTCATAACATTTCAATTCCGTTTTATGAGCGTTTTTTTAAAATAAAAATGCACTTAGGCATAGGACTAAGCATCCAACATCTAGGTCTTCGGATCTTGGGAAGGTGGTTGAAAATGACATTACTAGAAACGCATGTGATGTGCGGTTTAATGTGAGCTGTTGCCCATCCTTTCACCCCTCCACTAACCTTGCTCCTCTGGTCGTCGGTAGAGTCGCTGCTGCTCTACCTCTTCAGGATGAGGTGTCTTATAGTAACCTCCGTCACCGGTGTCCTCTGCCGAGTTTGGGTAGCGCGAGTCAGGTTCTTTGTAATATTGGGGGCGTTCTTCCGGCTCGTCGTGCAGGTATCGTCGTCCTCCGTCGTCTTCAGATGGCCTCCGCTCATCACCATGGTAACCATCGTCAGCTGGCGGCCTCCGCTCGTCTCCATAGTAACTACCTTCAGCTGGCGGCCTCCGCTCATCACTATGATAACTAGCGTCAGCTGGCGGCCTCCGCTGGTCACCATGGTAACTAGAATCATCAGAAGGTCTTCGATCGTCACTATGGTAACTACCGTCATCCGAGGGCCTTCTTTCGTTTCCACGATAGTCACTGTCCTTTGATGGCCTCCTTTCATCACCATGGTAACCACCATCATCAGATGGCCTCTGCTCGTCACTATAGTAACGGCCATCATCAGACGGCCTCCTCTCGTCTCCGCGATAGACGTTGTCGTTCGACGGTCTTCTTTCGTCACCATGGTAAGCGTGGTCTAAAGGCCTCCTACTGTCATAATAACGAGTGGAATGAGGTGGTCTGTCGTCATGGCGGTAGTCGGTGGCATCCGTCGGCTTCCTCTCGTCGCCATAGTAACTGGGGCTTTCTGACGGCCTTCTTTCATCGCCATAGTAACTGGGATCTTCTGAAGGCCTGCGGTACGCGGACGGTTTTTCTTCATTCTCCTGGTAACCACTGTCGGCCTTGTTTGAGTCGGAATAACGTGTTCCTCCTTCCGGGTAACGTCTATAGGGATGTTTTTCTTCGTCCTCATATCGTCTGCCGCCTTCATAAAACTGCCCGTGCTGGGGACGCTGGTGGTAGGGAGCATTGTTCTGCTCCTTATCTCCATCCGAACGGTAGCCCGTATCTCTTCCATCATTTTCCTGGCGACGGTCATCATATTTCGTGTCTCCCTTAGGCCGACGGTATCGACGGGGCTTCTCATAACTTGTGACATCACTGGCAAGCTCGTTGGGTGTAATAATGTCGTAGTTTGGAGTCTCGGCCGGGCGTCGGTCATTGCTCGGGTACCGGTCACGGCTTTCGTCCCTCTTTGGGTCGTCGTCGTGGTACCGGTTTTCGTCGTCATAATGTCCGTCGGGTACGCCTCCGGGCCGACGACTGCCCAGCGAATCGCGGTATCCTCCAGGTCCTTCGTCGTCATCTGATGCGCCGGTGAGACGCTGCAGTCGCTGGCGGCCGCCGAGCTGATCGAACTCGCTGTGAAGTTTGTTGGTCTGAACTGGCTCGATTTCCCTCAGAGCTCCGGGAGCATCGCTGCTCCTTCGCTCGCTGACTGCGATCTGTGCCGGGCGGTCACTGACAGACGAGGCCACATGCCGCTGTTGTCTCTGCAGGGGCTCGTCGAAATAAGCTGCCCGTGTAGGCGTTGATCGCTCCGAGGCAGAGACGCTCAACGTTCGTTCCGGATCTGGTGAGGATGATTGGCCATCACGCTCAACATGGTTGGCCACTTGTTCAAGGGTGTCGCTGTATAGATGGCGTTTGACGGAAGTCGGGCTAGATACACTGTTCAGCCCACGGCGGAAGGCAGGAACGTTGTGCTTCAGACTTTCCCATTGCAAGTGCCAGTGGTCATCACCGAAGGTCTCTGTGTTGGGCCGGGAGTCACGTACTTGCGTCTCGTCGATGTGATGGGCTGTTTGATTCTCACTTTCATGGTCGGCACCGATGCTTTCGTCGAATGATACGTCTTGGTTATGGCTAGACTCTTTTCCTGATGTGACACTAGACGCAATGCCGGATCCCATCTCGTTAGGAAGCTCCCCGTGTTCATCCGGATACTCTTCTTCGAGAGGATTTTCGGCATCGCGACTAACTGGGACGGCAGTTTCCTCCGCCCCAGGCTCTGATTCTTGATCGAGCTTTACCGGACTCTGTGAGCTCACATCTGAGCTGCGAGCCGTCTCCATGACACGGATCAGGTCCCTAAGCGCTGCAGTGTGATTGACACTGAGCAGTTCGCTTAGCTGCTGGGAAGGGACGGATCTGGCCCGCCTACGATGGACGACAGCTTTCTCCTGACGCTCGGGTCCTTTCAAGGTTTCGTCGGCCGCCCGCCCAGGACGAATCTCGGTCGCCGGCTCTCTCCGGCTGTCGGTCGTGCTGTCGTAGTTCTCGGCTGTATAAGGTATCCCTCGAAAGGAACTTCGCCGGGTGGGGGTATAGTTTTCTGGAGTGTAGTTCTCCGGAGTGAAGTTTTCCGGTGCGTAGGCGCGCCGCGTAGTGACAGTGTTGAGTGCAGGTCGGCGTCTCTCTAGCGGGTACCGACGACGGTCTTCCGACACAGGAAAGCGAGCCTCCTCTGAGTCGGGGTAGTCGGCCGTATAATCTCGGTCGTAGTCGTCCGAGTAGTCTCCGTCATAGTCTTCCTGGTAGTCGGCCGGATAGTCTGCAGGATAGTCCGCTGGGTAGTCGCTGTAGTCCTCATCAGGGCGAGGAGGCTGCTGTCTCCCCGTCTGCCGGGCTCTATTGTACCTCCTACCCTCGTTTCTCACATCTTTCTCGGTGTCCTGCTGTCGATCGTATTCAGCGTACCTCGGTCGCTCTGCGGGACCACCTCGCTCCCGACCGTATCCCCTGTGTCGGCGCTGCTTCTGGCGCCTCCTCTTGCCGCGTCGGCCCTCATCCCGCTCATCATCATACTCGTCGTCGAACCTTTGTTGACTGTAGTAGTGGTCGTGCTCCTGCTCCCTGGCGTGCTCACGATCCACCTGTTCATCGGTCGGTCGGATGTTGTAAGGATCACCGGCACGATGTCCGTCCCCATAGACGTGACGCGCTGCATGGTCACGAGGGTATCCGTGGTTCTCTCCCAGCGCGTGCCGGTGACCGCGTGCACCTCCGTGTCCACCTTGACGCCCCTCCTCCTCGCCGAAGAACTCGCTGCTGTCGGTGATGGGCTCCACTCGCTGGCGGGAGTAGCTGTTCCGATAGAAGTTGTTGTACCGATCCCGCTGTACCTCCTCCGGAGCGTCGTAATAGTCCCGCTGAGTCTCCTTAGGGGCGTCAAGCCGTTTCCGCGAAACTTTCTCAGGCTCTCTGTACTCGTCCTGCTGTACTGCCTTCGGTCGTCTGTACTGGTTCCTTGGCGCTTCCTCCTGATCCTCGTATCGATCCTCGCTTACTTGCCGTGAGTTGTATCGGCCTCGTCGACCATCCTTGCGTCGACGCTGGCGGTAGACGATCTTCCCGTCATCTTCCTCGTCATCTGCGGTCGTTTCACGGGCTGGGTCGAGGTAGGTTCCCTCCAGCGGTACGCCCTGGAACGGGTGACCTGGCTGCCAGTTGGCGCGCCTCTCTTGAGCGGTGGTGGCCTGTGCCGGCAGTGATCGTCCCTCGATGGCAGGGCCGGACTTTGCAGCCGCCGACAACGGCAGGAGCCCGGCACCGATCCTGGAAGACGCCTGGTGAGGCGAGGCAATAGGGGAGATCTGAGAGGGACGAGGCGGCTTTTGGATTTCAGACTGTGGTTTATGACTGGGTGATGGCACAGAAGGAAGACGCGGAGGCGCCTGAGCGCCCTGTGTGCCTACCAACGGGGCCTGAGGAAACGCCGAGGGGTTCTGACGGAGCGCAAGGGTGGCAGACTGAGCCACCGGGCCAGGCAGCGGCCGGTTCTGAGTAGGGAATCGAGATGATGAGTGAGGAGGCTGTCTTTGAAGCTGTGCTCCCTGGTTGGCAGGGGCTTGTTGGTGATTGGGAGTTCTGTATCGCACTGGAGGAACCACGCCGGCCAAATTGGGTGCCGGCTTCACGACGAACGGGGACGGCTGCGAAGGCGAGGGTGGCAGCTCCCTGGCATCTGCAGAGCCCGCTGGTTGTCTCGGCGAAGGCGTATCCAAATTAGCCGTTGGCTGTCCGGCAACCTGACAAGGAAAAGACAATACTTTTTAAACGGCCATCCAGCAATTTGGGAAAACAGCTATGTAATTCTTTGAGTTAACTAAGCACAGATTGAAACAAGACAGAACTTCAGGTCGCGGCCGTCATATACCGTGAGTTTGTTTCAAATTTTTGTATTTCCAACTTACCTTCGGCGCAGTGCCGTTGTGCTGGATGCTTGACTGGCTGGCTGCGGTTCGGGCAGCGTCTGCCCGTCGGCTGATTCCCTCCTGAGGGACCGGTGCTCGCTGTTCGGCACCTCCATCCAGGTGCCGCAGCAGCAGGGAAGTGCCGGCAGCGTTCGCTGGCGCTGGGGTTGCGGTGCTACTGCTCGCTGCAGCCACAGTCAGCAGCGCCCACAGCAGCGAGCCGGTCCCGCACGAGCCCTGCCGATGACAGGCGATAGCGTGAGGAATAGTCAGGGGCGAATTATTGAAAATGAAGAGCGTCAAGTAAAAATGCAAATTTAAATAATTTAAATCGTAATGCCGATTGCCGAATATGCCCAATACGAATGAAAGGAGTGACCGGATTGTCTCACCATGTTAGTTGGCCGCACTGGACGTCAGCTGCTGAGACGATCCAGCCGTCTCACAGGGGACTCGTTTCCACGGTATCGGTCAGAGCCCAGAGGCCCTCTGGTCTGTCCGCTAAGTTCCGCTACCACTGCTTCCACGGCCTCCGACACACTGCTGGCTCTCCTCCCCGCTCAGCCTTTATGTCCGCACACACTCACTGTCAGCGGACCGCCGCTGCCGGCTTCAGGCACGATCGGAGCGCTCGTGCCGCCGCGTCGGTCGCGACGAGACGCGCGTGACGCGCCGCGGCGGAACAGCGGCGCTCGTGACGCACCGTGACGGAAACCGGCGCACCGATCACTCTCAGCGCGCGGCGCGATCACCGCTCCAACCGGCGGCGAGCGGCGACGACCGCTGTCCGATGACTGTCTCACCGTCTTGCGTGATGATGGTGTCAAAGCGCTAGTGGTAGGTATGTCAGTATGTGTTTCGGTAATGATAGGACTGCTGCAGTGGTGTGAGTGTCAGAGTGTTGTCAGTGTTTCAGTCGTGTCAAGGTGGTGAAATATTGCTGCGCTACTATCAGAGCCAGTCGAGTTCGACTGCTGGAACTGTGTTACAGTCAAATGTCAGATAGACGGCTCATTTGCAAATTGAACTAATTTCTAGCAAGTTCACTGCATCGTTTTTTAGCAGAGACTGAGAGAGACTCCGACGCTGTCCAGAATAAATGCAGTCAAAATCAATCATGTAGCATTCAACCCATTATTTAAAAGTAATTCTCCGTCTTTGGCTCGTCACTGGATGAAAAGTTGACCGATATGCAAATAATCACATACCTACACACGTGAGCGCCTCAAACGTTCCTGCTGTTTCTTTTTTACTTCTGTGTCCTGGAGGCAGCTCCGCTCATTTCTGTCAAATCTTGAACGGCGACGCACGAATCGTCACTGGATGCGTTTAAACTAATAAATATGATGGATGCGTTTAAACTAAGAAATACCTGGGGCGCTCAAAAATACCCAAATAAGCTTGCTGGCATAATGCCATCAACGGTAAAATGAGCGAAATTTTCAACAATGTTTACCATCCATCACATGGTGGTCAATCTGCTTTGCTCAGTGCGCTATGTTCGTTGCTTTATCAAACAGAAACTATGCGACGGTACCTAAGTTTAATTTCTGAAGTTTTACGATTAACAATCGCGAAAAACCGCGGGAAAACCGCGTTCGTTCGACCCTCCCCCTCCTCTATACGGGCGAGGGTCATAATGGGCGAAACTGTATTTTTGTCGCGCTAAATGCGCCCGCCCGCCCATTGTGCGGCGGCGAAGGGGGGCCGGCGCTGTCCTATGGCGGGTTCACCGTCTTGCGTGATGATAGTATAGCAGATTTTCACCACCAATTGACACGACTGAAATACTGACAACACTCTGACACTCGTACTACTGCAGCGGTCTTATCATTACGGAAACACACACTGTCATACCACTAGCGCTTTGACACCACTAGGCACTAGGTGTCACTAGGCGGTTGATACCTACTATGGATTGCCGGCAGGACGCCTTCTGGTTGACCTGACCTGACCTGACCCGACCTGACCTAAATGCATTCAGATATCATCTGTGATCAAAACTAACACGATAGTCGTGATCAGCATCCCGAAAAACCCCACAGCAGCCACACTTAACGACGTTCTAAGCTCCCGATTTTTCCGACTTTTGGATCATTGACCTGACTTGGAAGGTCAGCCAATGACCTAGGACCTTAAAATTGGGTATCATTGGCTTTCTCTTGTCACGGGCGAAACGGCAAGGGGGTCAACGGACCCCCCTTGCCGGGTCTTGCCGGGTCCAACGGACCCCCGTTGGACCCCCCCCCCCCCTTATACGTTCGCGGCTGGCAAAACACGAATACGGGCCAGGGTTAACCCGCGACCTGGTGGGGGGGGGGCTATTTTTTGCCCCCCTCCAGACTTTTCGATATATCTCCAGAACCGCTGCGCCGATCGTCACCAAACTTTCAGTACCCTCCCGGACATCAATTTTACACATTTTGACCAAAAATTTTTCCAAAAGCTATGATAGGTTGGCCGGAAATGACGTCAGAGTGACGTCATGTTCTGCCGTTTTCGACCCAAAAAAGGGTTTCGCGGGAAGAGCTGTCAGGCCTATAGCTTTGCAAATACAGAAAAATGTTTAGAACATAAAAGCTGTAGAATTGACAGGGCTACAAAACTGCTATCTCGGATTTTTGATTTTTTTTGATTTTGACCCCAAAAATCAAAAAATAGATTTTTGGGATATAATAGTGAAAAAATCCAAAAAGTTTTTTGAATTTCGCAAAAACCGGAATATATCTGATAGTGCTTACCGCCTTCCATCCACATACCAAATTTTAGATTGATACCTCTTTTTTTGGCGAAGTTATAGCGAAAAAACTTTTCAAAATTGATGACGTCAAATTTTCAAACTCAATTTTTAGCAATTCTAGACCTCGTAGTGCAAAACAAAGACCACCATTAGACTCCCCGTGACGAGCTGCATCGAATCGATACCCATTTTATGCAAAAATATCAACTTTGAAATTTGACCTTTTTTGACCTGACCTTGACCTGACCTCCACCAGAAAGTGACCTAAACCGTACCTGATGGTCTTATAACCAACACCATTGGGTTGGAAATGAAAAACTGGCCATAAAACATGCATCGCACAACCTTAGTAAAGTTGGGTTCATGTGGTGACCCTTGGTGACCTTTGGTGACCTGACCTGTGACCTGACCTGGTATGACCAGTGACCTCTAATAGCAACATATGTACTAGACAACTGACGTCTTATCGCTGATTTTCGACAAAATGCGTTTTACTCGGTGTTATAGCGCTTTCCCTAGAAGCCCCGTGAACGGTGAAACATTTTATCTTTGACCTGACCTGTGACGTCATCGGTGACCCCGAGGTCAATAAAATTTGGTTTCCTTCAACAAATTTGACAGGGCTATCGAACGTCGTTTGAATTTTGCGGATCCGTCCAGTAGTTTCGGAGATACGAGGGGGGGGGGGGGCAAAAAATAGCCCCCCCCCACCAGGTCGCGTTATAAACAGACCCCACCAGGGCGCGGGTTAACAGCACCGTCGGGCGTTGCAGTCTCCATGTGGAATACATTACCTACGGTGACGCATAACTAGCACCAGTTGTGGACTGAATCTAGTGCCGAACTGTTGCGACTACGGACCAACAACGTTGGGGGGTTAGCACTTCATAACAATTTCTAGGTAAAAATTACGACACACCATGTGGCTTACAATTAACAGTAATACTACCTACATCCGGAGTGACCAATGAATACGGTCAATAAAATCCCCGTTAGTGCAAAGTTTCGTCGCACAGACAACTCGAGACCGGGATGAGGCCGAGGGACGCGACAACGCAGATGAAGCGAAGTGGCGCAACGCCTACAACCCTGCTTGAGTTAATTGCTGTAATAACTTACAAGCTAACGACAACAGTTGCCTAAACAGCATTGAAAATGAAGTAAGACGGTAAAGGTGTATAGACGTCCGAGCTGCTTCGAGATGTCAGACGCGGTTACGTGACCAATAGCAATGCCGTGCTTTTTATCATTGAGCGGTGATTTCGTTCCTTCGTTTCATCATAGCTCGTAAAAACGTTTTTTTCGGGTAGGGTAGAGTGGGGTAAGATGCCCAGGGTGGGAAAGACGCCCCACCCCCTCTAGCGGCGAAACAAAGAATCGGACCTGGAAATTAATGTTCTTAGCGTAAAGCGGAAGCCTGCCTTGTTAACTGCACAAAAAATTGCGAAGCTCAGTTGGGCAACGGCTGGCTGATGATTGCATGTTTTTTATTTGCTGCTTTCAAAAAATATTTTGGTGTCAGAACATTGTAAATATCAAAGAAGGTAAATAATGTTTGCGTCCTTTGCTAAAGTCATGATACATTAGCATGCCTGTACTGTGTCCCAAACAGTTTGTTTCAGGGTGTAGTTTTATGGCTTACAAATTGTACTGATTTAATGTTACTTCGGTACCTTGGGGTAAGATGCCCCCTGTCCTGATGGGGAAAGACGCCCGCCTAAATCCGTAGGCTGTCCTTCAAACAGCCCGTCAAATCATTTATTTGTACATAGGTACTTGTGATGTAGACAAAAGCCGATCTGGGACTATTGAGAGTCCAGTACGGTCGGGTGCTCCCCATGCCGGTCTCTCGGCCCACATAGCGACTTTTTGGGCGGCATCTGACTCTGAGAGCCCTCACGACGGCCTCTGTGGGCCCCATTATTGGCTCCCGGGCCCCTCACGACATCCTTTGAGGGCTCCCACGTTGGCCCCACGGGCCGCGCTGGCATCGGAGGTCCCCACGATGGGCTCGAGGGCCCTCAAGCATCATGAAGACCTATAAGAGCCCCACAGTGGTCTCCGAACGCCACCACGGAGGCTTGTTTGGCCGCGCTGGACTATGATGGCCCTAACGATGACCTCTGAAGCCCCTTACGACTACTTTTGAGGGCCCTTATGATGACGTTTGGTGTCTACTGCAGGCTCGAAGGGACTACTGATTCGTTCAGGCGATTCACGTGCCCATTTATGTCACTTATAGTGCAGGGGGCATCTTTCCCAACGTCAGGGGGCGTCTTTCCCACCCTGTGGGGTAAGATGCCCCCTTTCACTTCTTCAGGAAAATGCTTAATAGCAAAAAAAGTTATAATATTTCAGGCACGAAAGTGTGATATTTTTGGAGAAAAATGATGTCGGCTTCCGTTGAAACTCCAAGTTTTTGCTTTCCCATCGTCATTTTCGAATAATATGTGACATAGCAAACCCTGGGCATCTTTCCCCACTCTCCCCTATTTGTCACGGCATTACGGATAGGTACTTAGCCCGCTCCCCACAGGTGGGGGGGGGGGGCGGGGGGCGGCTATTTAAAGCCCCCTCCTTTTTCTGCAATAACTTCCAATTTATGACTTTTAATTCGAATAATTTATGAAAATTCGAATAATTCGAATAATTTATGACATTGCAAACCCCTGGGCATCTTTCCTCACTCTCCCCTACTCGGGTATAGAGCGTGCCTTTTATGTGCAAGAACTCATATCTGTAATGTAACCGAGCGGCCGCAAAAGGTGTCTAACCTCCTCCGGCCACCGTTTGCCAACCTCCTTCGTGCAGCCACCGAGCGGCTGGCCGCCGTCACGCGAAACACTGCGAAGACTTTCCCGTCACGTCACGGCGACATGACGTCACCGCCTGAGTCGTGACGTCACGCCGTGCGACGGTGTCGTTTCACCGGTCGTGTGCGAGCTGCTGCTGCAGGACAGCCGGACCAGCAACGTGACAGTGTTGTCGCCATTGCAAGGGAAAGTGAGGGTTCCATTTTTGTCACTAATTTTTTAGTAATCCCATTTTGACGAACCTCTTGCAGAACACCGACTACATAACCAAACACATGCTGATGTCACAGAAACATGTTTAATTACGTTGGTCTTTATTCTAACCAAAAAACTTAAAGTTGAGAAGCATCGACCATGAACGCTTCGCGATGCACACTTGTCTGGCCGTCGGCCGACTCACTGTATAGTGAGCATAGAATTTCCGGTGGTGAGAGCGCTGACTCGGAAGATCTATCATTTGATACGTGCGATTCCTAGCGGGGATGGTCTGAGTATTGGCAGCAGCAGCCAGTTGGACCTGTCATCCAGTGATTAGAGTTGACCCAGTCTACCCATGATGATGAATTCATCCAATACCGACTACCCATTCATCAACCATTACTTTTTTTACGAAAGGCGTGCAAGAAACGACCTTAAAATAACTCAGCGGAAATATCACGCAACCCCAGCACGTCGACTCGGAACACGGCGCGGAACGGCAGCCGCGTTATCCCCAGTATCGAAACAATTGCATTCGTGTTTTGCATACTGGCAGCATTGGCAGCTTCTATGGGTGCAAGTATGCCAAGTTCCGTCCAAATATTCGCGATACTAAATGTGAATAGTGAGGATGCAAGCTGTCAAATTTAATAATTCAACAAAAATCGCTGCTATTCTCTGACGCCTATGAAGTTCCTCAAATTGTTCGTTTACAGCCGCGCCCCAATATGAGGCATGAGTCCGCACAATAAAATGTAGAACACAAGTCATTCAAAGGTCAGGGACTGAATAATGATTTTAGAAGTTCAGCGCCAAAATGGTTCAATCAACACCAGAGATTTATAAGAATGCCTGTATTCAAATATTTACCAAACTGTTTATGCCTCGCAACAAATAACACGAACAACACGATACAGATCCAGAATGAGTATAGGAGCTAAGCTCTTTCATAAAGCAGCGAAGAATCAAATGAGACCAAAAAATAAATCATTCCGTCAATATCAACTCACAACATCGCTATATCATTCTCAGCAGGACTCAAACTGGCTCCGATACTTTCAAAACTGGCAGGCACCACTAGCGCTTTGCGCTGAACTTTAAGTAAATAACATCACCTTAGCCATATAGTTGTTTGAGCAAGTGCATCACTTTCCCAGAAACATCCTTACACCTTGACGATAACAACAACCAGAACGAAGTGTTCAATAACGGCCGATCCACAACAGAGTACAAAAAAGCAGGATATTGAGTAGGTACAGAGGACATAGAGTATAGACAATACAAATGCCACATATATTTCCACCGCCACCGTCGCTTTGGTCCCGCATAAAGGATACAATATGAAAATAATCCCATGGGTCTCATCCCCTCAACATGTTCGTTGGCCGGGCGCCCAGCGCCGGCATATGTGCGGATCCCGGACCGAAGAGCTGGCCTCCCAGAAGCCCGCCCTACAGCTCCCCCTCCTTGAACGCGTCTACCTTACAGAGCTGACGACTGAGCTGCCACATCTTTTCCTGCTGCTGCTTGTCCTCAGTGTAGCGCGCAGAACGGTACACGGCCGCGTTCTCAAAGTGGGCGCCGGTGACACCCTCCGACTCGGGCGACAGACAGGCGTACAGCAGCGTCTCGGCGCCGTCTTGAGGGCTCTGTGGACACACCGGGGGAGTGGTGAGAAACGGAGAGACATTGGGAACGGGACAGCACTAGCGCTGGACAGAGGGCAGCACTGGAAAACCCACCAGGCCCGTGTAGAAAGCAACAGTGACAAAGAGCAGCATTTGGGCCAGAGACCGCAGTAAACTCAACCAAACTCGCTGGGCAACCGTACCTAAACATTTATCGCGATATTGGCGCGAGTCATTTGCACAAAGCTAGCTTAGCTATAACGCACAAAACAAGGAACACATGTTTTTCGTAATGTGTTAGATAATACACTAAAGTGACTCAACGAGTTCTATTTCGTCAACCGTTCAACAAATCCACAAGCGTTCTTTTGAGATCTACAAGCCTTCGATTCGACTCTTAACGTAAAATAAATCCGGACAGAGGAACACATACCTTCCACAGCTTCTTGAGCACGGGCGAGGCCATCTTGTAGAGCGTGGTGTAGTCGTAGAGGTCGGTGTAGATGACCCCCGGATGGAGCGAGCAGCAGGTCACGTTATCTTCCGAATCCTTGGCTTTGTTAGCCAGGTACTTGGTGCACAGTATCTGGGCGCCCTTGGATTGGAAATACGCTCCCTTCGGCGAGTACACTTTGCTGAAAAAAAAATAACAACCGACATTAGAAGAGTGACCTGCTACGTTATTTGTAAACAAATACGTCAGCCTATCTCACAGCAGAAACGAAGCACTACGTAAAAGAGCACCGAAGAAAAAATATTGACTGATAAGAGGGCTAGAAGTTTTGTGTCCAACTCGTGCCTCGTGCGCTCTACGCGCCGGAGAACTTGGAACGATGATCGACATTGGTCGAGAACAATGACGTCTCGAGACCGACCGCCTGCCTACCTGAGCATGATGTCGTCGAAGTTCATGCCGCTGCAGCAGTTGTGCGCCGTGGAGGAGACGTTGACGATGCGCGCCTTCCGCTCGGGGGTGCCCGACTCACGCAGCCGCGGGTACAGCATGTGCTGCATGGTGAAGTGTCCCAGGTGGTTGACGGCCATCTGCATCTCGAAGCCGTCCTCGGTGAGCTCGTGTTTCGGATAGAACATGATGCCGGCTGGAACGGAGTGAATCATACCGCTTCAGAATGCGTTCATCGCCAGCAAAAACGTTCCACAAAAGTCTCGGCATGACAAACAAAGCGTAGCAAGAACAAAGAGAATATTGAATAGTGCAACCACGCTCTAAAAACTATATTTTACTTATTTACATTTTTGTCATCATGCCCTTAAAAATGGTGTTTTTTTTGTGCTACACAGGTGAACAGGAATTCCTTAAACAAACAAACAAACAAAGCTCTTCATTTTACGTTTTGTGAGCAGAATGGCTAACCCTCAGTCGTCACACCGAGCTTTCTGCCACTTTCCTCCGGCAAAAAGAAGTCAGGGCTCCTCCTGACCCATCCCAGACCCCGTTAACTCCCGACTAACCATTACAGAGCAGCACGTGTAGCGGCAGGCCCGAGTCGATGAAGCGCTGACAGAAGGCGCGCACCGACTCCTGCTTGGTGAGGTCCAGTGGCCACACCTCCAGCTTGCACTGGCCGCCAGCCTCGGTGGCCAGCGGCAGCAGCGTCTTGGAGGCCTTGTCCGGGTTGCTGGAGCCTGCCGAGGGCGGTGAGTGAGTTAGTATAGGTCAAGGAGAGGAGCAGTTCCGCAAATAGAGTCCGTTTAGAGCGCTGCAAGGTTACGGTTGTCTATATGCTCTGGTTACGATAGCCAGTGGAGTCCAGACCAAGGCCGTCCGGACGTTCCGTCGCAACGCAAGGGACAATGGATGACAACGCAATGACCGGAGAGCAGTGCACAACATATCACTGCAGTGAGTGCGTAGTGCAGAATAAATGCATATTTCTTTAACCGAGGCGACAGGCGTTATATCTGAGTTCAGGCCCCAGACAAACCGGAGCAAACACATAAGCTTTCAACATACATTGGAAATTAAGTCGAGAGATAACGGGCGCACTGCTGCGAATAACTCACCAACGATGAGGTGCATGTTGAGTTTGAGCATGGTTTTGACGGCCTCCAGTCCGATGCCTCGGGAGCCGCCAGTGATGACCGCCACCCTGCCATCCTGCGACACCAGGTCTGCGGAAACACGATCACTGTGGCCAATCCCGGCTCCGGCTGCAGCTCCGGCTGCGGCTCCGGGATATTAACATAAAGCGATATAAGCTGTCACTGGTTAACCCGCGCCGGGCCGGGGGGGGGGGGGGTGTTTGAACCGACCCCCACCAAACACGATTTGGCAGCACTGTAAAGACGTCTGCTGGGCGTGAAGTTTTCCCTTCACCATAGGGTTTACACACAAACTGGTCAAAGTTTGAGCCAGGATATACTAGTCTAAAAATGCAAAAAACGAACAAATTTTGGCATTAATAGATTCAGCATTTCATCGTGTGCCTCAAACCGTCCATCATTTGGCCTCAAAGGAGGTAAAAATTGTTCAAAATCGAGGTTGAAAAGATGCTTTCTGAGCACATAATCTGGTAGCAATCACGTGACCTGCTATAAGCAGCTTATCGATAATTTACAAACATAATTATTAATATGCTGCTTTAAACAACATTAATCATTCATTTTGAGCTTTCAGTACTTTAAATAAGGTCAAAACATCGCAAAACACAAAAGTTAATACAATAGTCACGTGGGTGTCAGGAAATGTCACAGGTGCGTCAAATTTGTGACTGGGGCTTTACTTTCAAACATCGGATCTACCTGTTTCTTATAGGTATCTTGGTTTGAACACCCCCCTTGTGGTTTTTCGCAGATATCTCAAAAACGGCGGCGCGGAGCGCCGCCGTTTTTGGCACGCCTGTTCGTGCATCTTTTCCGCACATGTTGTGAAAATTTCAGACCCAGGTCACCTTAGGTCAGGTCACCAGGTCACGCCAAGTGACCTCACCTCAGAAAAAAATAAGAATGCTCGTCATAGCTACACCGACTGAACGATTGCCTTGAAACTTTGAGCGATTGATTAGAGCAACACAATCTATAAAATGTATATCTCGGAATTTTGATATCGGTGACCTAAGGTCAGGTCAATTTTGCGGCCTCTCCATTATAAGTCAATGGGAGAAAATTGAAAAGCGTCTGTTTTGCACGAACGCTATTCTAGACACTCTCAAACATCGAGATGTAGGTAAAATAGACACACTGAACCAGAAAATGGCAACTGTGACCCCTCGTTATGTCCCCGAGGTCATCTCAGGTCACGAACAGAATCTAACAGTTTTTCGATGATAACTTCTGATAGAGGAGTGCTAGAGCGCTGAAAACGCCTTAGATGTGTTCGGCTCGACGTTGCGGATCGACTGATATCCAACATGACCATTTCCGGTCAGGTCATGACCTTGACCTGAGGTCAAATTTTCAAGTTGACCTTTCAAGGTCAAATTATAGTTCAATCGACGCGTCTCGACGAGAGGAACACGATGCTGGCAAAAGTAATGTCATAGCTCTTTTGAGTCAAAAGTTATTGCCGAAAAAAACGTGTTTCGTAAAAACGGCTATTTTTGGAGTTTTTGCCCTCTGGAGGCTAAACTGTTGACCTGAGGTCAAATCTGAGATCATTACTCAGAAAGGTCTGTAAAAGGGCTATCGAATGCGCTTTTTTGCGGCGCTGTAGCTCTATCGGTTCCCGAGATAGCCGTTGGCAGTTTCCAAAATGTTGAAATAGTCAACATTTTGCCTTTGGTGACCTCTGGTGACCTGACCTTTGACCTGACCCAAAAAATGACCGAAGTGTTTTCGTCCTTATTTTTACGTTCTTTCGATTGCCGCTTACCGCGTGTCTCTACGTGGCCCAGGAGCCGAGTTAGAAGGGGGGGGGGTGTTCAAACACCCCCCCGCGGCCCGGCGCGGAATCTCAGAGCACCGGCCCGGCGCGGGTTAACACTGTCCGTGTTGTGACCAAAATGTGCTGTGCACTTAGATCCAACACCACAAAAGTAAAATTCAGGTGAGACATCAGCGATTCTCACCATGCAGTATTCCAATGAAATGCTTGACTATCACGGAACATTACCGGATAATCTTCATAAGCCGTATATCCCAAAACGAGAGAAATATATGTACGTATTTACACGCACAGAATCGATGCATAACAATAGTCTAGCATAACCACACAGATTTACACATGCTATACCCACACACGAGATAAAATGAACTGAAAACGAGGGAGCAGGAGGTACGGAGATAATGACATCTGGCAGTATGTGCAATGCGAGGATTTACACACATAACTAGTTTAAATAACGTACAAATACATACATATTATAGAATATACAGTACCGACAAAAGTTATCACACCCTTCACCAATGACATAAATTAGTAACAGGCTGTGGTGCATTAGACAATGACGACTTAAAAAAAGTTAAAAACTCCTGGTCGGAAGTTTCTGGACGGCTAACTCACAACTATCATCACCTCCAAAGTGAGTGGTGTCCCTCTGCTAGCTCTGCCGGTGCTCACCTTGTGTCACGCGCCGGTGGTACAGCCACTCCCTCACCATTGCCATCAACCCGACGACGACCACGGATACCTCGCACCACAACCACATGCAGAGCTGGGCCCACATCATCTGCAACGGCGCAGGCTGTCAGTGGCGCGCCGGCGCACACTCACCGGCGTTCTTCTTCACGGGAAAGAGCAGCTCGCGGTACATGATGGGCACGCCCTCCATCAGGAAGGCGACGTTATCGCGGGTGAGCACGGCGGCGGAGCGTAGCATGGCCATCCTGGTGAGATATCGTGTCAATGACACTGACACACATTGAAACTGACAGCAGAGCACAGCATGACTATACTGGCGACACGATGTGTCACTGACACTGACACTGACACTCACTGACAGCAGACCACAACATGACCATCCTGGGGACACATTGTGTCAATGATACTGACACATAGTGAAAAGTGGCATAGCCATACAAACAAATGGTCCATCCATCCCCCCCCCCCCCCCCCAATCGTCCCTCGACTCACCTTGCTCGCAGTGGATGCATGTGACACGGATCAGTGCAGACTGCAGGTAGCGTCGTGGAGAGGAGAGGAACACAGTACGGCGTAGGTTGTAGAGCAGTCGTTTATTCGATCGTTTCAGTCGTTTCACATGGTCGTAATTATTGATAAACCGTGTTAGGTTCTTTGAAAATAGCTTTGTTATAGATCGTATTGAAAGACAAAGACTAGGTGACAACATGATGAAGGATCACGGACAAAATTGGATTCAATAGAAAACGTTAGACAATTTAATCGAATATAGCTAATATTTATGCCAAGTCACTATACAGCAAGCAGCCCAGTCTTCAACCCAGATTTCGAACAGCATGTCGTTTCGCCAGACTTCGCACTAACTAGCGACTGGTGATCGGACCCCAGCAGTACACGTCTTCAGTCTTGCTGGGGTCCGACGCCAGTCGGTAGACGTCTTCCGTCGGTCGGACAGCTCAGACCCGAGCTCCCAGGTGGCAGCGACCGGTGTCATCGGGCAGCATCTGCGCCGCGCCACCAGCCGCCACGCACGCTACCACGGGCACGGAGAGCCTCTGAGCGCCGTCATCCACCACTACCTCCAGCAGGCAGAACACTGATCTACTGCGCACGGCCGCCGAGGGCGTCAGTTGGACACGGAGCACCGCCTGGCCGCCGGCCGGCAGCACTCCCTCCTCGGGCCAGACACGCACCCCGACCGGCGGGCCCGGCGGGATGACCCGGAACGTCAGGGGGGTGTCTGCCGTGCTGCAGAGCGCTAGCTCGGCACAGACGGCCCGGTCCGGCCGCACCAGGCCCAGGTCGAGCCGCTCAGGCCGGCAGAGTACGGCACCGGAGCCGACCGGTGGCAGGGGCGGCTCGCCGCGTGCCGCCGCCACCAGTCGCAGCGGCTCGTGCTTCAGTCGCCGTCTGGCTGGAGCCGGTCGCTCCTCTGGCGGGGTCTGGCGCAGCGTGGCCAGAAACTGGCGACCGTCTGCTGTCAGGAAGAAGCCCGGGAACCGGCGCCGTCGCAGCATCTCTCGGTAGATGAGGATCTTATCCAGCTCGCGAATATCGACGGCAGCCGAAGGCGCGCGGCTGCGTCGATGTCGGTGTCGTTGTGTCGGCTCGTCGACTGTCTGGACCGGCGCCGGCGACGGTGAGGCCGTCGAACTGAGCCAGTTCAGCAGGCGGTCCGGCTCGTAGACATGTTGAACATGAGTCAGCGGGGGTTCATCGGACGGCAGCTGCCCGCCGCCGTCCGATTCAGAGCGCAACCGGAGCCGGAGAGCGTTCACAGCGCGCAGCACGGCCAGGCGGCGCGGCTCGGGCAGTGGTGGGGACACCAGGAGCTCGCGGGTACACACCAGACCAGAGGGTAGCCGCGGCGGGGGAGGCGAGCCAGCGCCGGCCACCGGCTCTCCACCGCCCCACACAGTAGCGCCAGCCTGAGGCGGCTCGGCGTCCCGACAAAGCAGCTGCAGATCGCGGCAGCGAAGGTTCGGCGGAACGATTGTGGCCTCGCGGTACGGCACGCGCCACCGCTCAGTCAGCGTCGTTCCCACCGGTCGGAACGTTTTCACCACCGTCAGCTCGTCGTCCTGCTGGTGAGGCTCCTGGACAGCGAGCGCGCCCGGTGTGCTCTCCACGTCCTCCAAGTACCGCTCGGCTTCATCGGAGGCCATCAGTCGTACCCCATCACCGTGCCGATACAGCACAAACAGCTCGGGACGCTCTGCCATCACAGTCTCCAGTTCCACCTGCCTGCGGAGGTGAAGCGGCAGCGGTTCCGGTAGGGGCTCCGGTGCCGCGCCGACCGGTTCGAGCCGCCCCTCTGCGGTGACATGCCACACCGCGCCGTCTCCGTCCACAGTCTCACAGAGGGCACCACAACCGTCCGGTGCCAGACGCAGTGTGTGGACTACAGGCCGGCGTCCGGTGTCACCCGGCCCACTGAAGCACAGCACCTGGTCGTCGAGCTGCAACCGCGATCCGTCTGGTTGGCTTAGGTAGAAGAATCCCGCGCTGTCGGCTTCCACAAGAAGACCGCGTGGCAGCCGGACGCGACAGCGCGCTTCGGCCTGATCCATCTCAACCCTCGCGTACTCCGGGTGTTCGATTGTGACAGAACGCTGCGCACAGGTCGCATCATCAACGGTAACCTGAGCGCCGAGCAGCCAGGTGACTGTGGCGGCGCCGATCCAGCCCGACTCATTCACCAGATAGTCGGAGCAGCCGGGCGGGCGAGGCTCGGCGCCGGCCACGACTGGGGGCGGCGGGGGCGGTGAGATGGTGACACGAGTACCGTCGGCCAGCTGCAGCACCGACTGTCCGCCGGGACGGACCACGGCGCGCGCTCCGTCCTCCCGCTGCAGGTACAGCTCGCGAGTCACCGGATCCGTGGCCATCTTTGTGAGCAGCGGGCGAGGTTCGGGCGGCGCGTCCGGCTCCCAGCTGAGGCGGCGGCCGGCGCCGGTGACTGCGCGCACCAGAGTGAGAGCTCCGTCAGATCGTCGGTAGGTGGTCTGTCCGCCGTCGGTGCTCAACACGCGTACCTCGTCCTCCGGCTGATCGGCGCCGTGCAGGAGGAGCAGCGAGCCGTCACTCAGATACACTCGCACCCGGCGCCGCTCGCAGGCAGCGTCAACATAATACTGAACCACTCGCAGACGCGGCTCCGGACCAGGCCAGAACGGCTCTGGCTGCAGCTCCACCACCAGCCCGCTGGGACAGGACAGTCGTAGAGTCTGTACCAGCCGCCCGGCGACTTCAGCCGGCTGTTCCGGACACTCATCCGCCGGCGGACCGGACGGAACTTCCACCAGCGGAGGCGCCGGTGATTCCTCCTCCGCCGGCTGCCGCTTCTTACCGGTAGCCTTCTTTGGTTCTGCCTTCTTCTCCTTCTTTGTCTCCTTCTTTTTGCTCTTCTCTGGTGGAGAGCGGTGTCGCACAGACCGGCGTGATTGCGGTGGGGACATTGGCGGCTCTTCGGACCCAGGCGTAGGTGGAGGGGCCTCCTGCGGTGGGGGCGCCGGCGCCGGCTCCGGTGGCGGTGGTTGCGGCTCGCGCATCACTGTCTGAGGATGGAGCAGTATACCGCCCGCCAGCACCGCCACCAGGTCCGGCCGCTCGCCGGCCGGGTGGAGAGTGAGCCGTGTCTCACCTCGCCGCACGCTCACTGTTAGCGTTGCCGGGCCGTGCACGTACCGACTGTGGCGCACTGTCACATGAGAGCCGTCTCCAAAGTACTGCCGCTGCCGGCCGCCGTGCACGTCCAACAGCCGGCCCAGAGATACGCTGTAACCTTCAAACACCTTCGGCGGCGGCACGGGGCTCGGCGATCGCTGCCTGGCGCCGGCGTTTGGTGTGTGAGGTCGGATCTCAAACTGCACCACACTGATGGCAGCCGGCGGCGGCGGCGGAGGCGGGGGCGACGGGGAGCCGCCCTCCTCCCGATGGTGACCCTTGTCGCTGTTTTTGCGCGGCGACTGTTCCGAACTCCGACGGCGAGACTCCTTTCTCTTTTTGTCGGTCTGTTTGGCGGCCGGGGCCGGAGCGGGCTGTGTGGCAGGTTGGGTCGGCTCGCGAGGAGGTTCATCCTCCCCACGCTCCTGCCGGACGCTCGCCTCGTATTTTAGCGAGCCCGGCACCAGAAACATTGCGTCCGGCAGCTGAACGCCCGAGCCGGGCGGCGGCAACTCGGCGGGCGACGGCCACGCGCTGCTTGCCGCCGAGCCGGGCCGGGACGGGGGCGTCTGCCGCGGCGCGAACGCATTTCGTAGCTGTCCACACTGGTGCTGCATCCAGGAGCGCACTTCAGGCCAGTGCTGCACGTGCTCAATGAAATCGCGCAGACCGACGGCCGTGTGCGCTCGCCGCTGCCAGTGATCACTCAGAGAGCCACCGCGCACGCGCGGATGACCGTACACCAGATAGAGTCCATCATCGCCGCCGAAATGGTAGGCGGCCAGGCGGCGACGACCGTCCCGCGCAGCCTCCAGAGCTTGCGCCATGGTGAGCCGGTCCAGCCGCTCGCTGACACAGAACTCGGCGAACTGCGCTGGCGGCGTTAGCAGTTCATCACCGGTGTCCAGCGGCTGGGCGTCGGGTTCCATCTGGCCGTGGCCGCACTCGGGCGCAAGCTGCTGACGGTCCGGTCGCACCGACTGGGCAGGAAGGAACGGGTGCGGGTAGGTCAAGGGGCCGCCTCCGCCGCCGCTGCAGTCGGCCGTCAGAGCCGGGTACATGGACTCGAACACCAGCTGTCTGAGCAGCAGCTCGGCGGCCGGCTCGGAGCGCGGACCATCCTCGGCGGCACGCAGCTCCTGGCGGGCGGCCTGGTGGCGCCACAGGGCGCCGCTCGGCGCCGGCAGCCGGCCCTGCAGCGCCTGCAGCTCGGCCGTCTGCGTCAGCACGTGCTCGGCACTCAGCACCGGCTCGCGGTCCACCCAGTCCCAGAAAGCGGCGTTTACGTCGTCGCCCTCATACACCAGCACGGGGCCGCGGTCGGCGTCGTCTATCCGTGGTGTGAACTCCTCCTGTAGCGCCACACGCCGCTCCAGCTCCTCACAGTCAGGCTCAGGGGTGGGTTCGTCGGGAGTCGGCGGCGCCGGCGTCTCCTGCTGCCGCTGCCAGACCGGCATTGCCCACACACAAACCTGCTCCACCAGAGCGTTCACCAGCAGCGGCACAGTGACCGTCTCCGGCGGCAGTGGCTCGAGTAGTCGGCGGTATTCGAGCGGCGGCTGGACACACGGCTCCAGC